AAGGTACTTTGATGTAGATGCAACTGTATAGAGAACTTGAGTGCACAGCCGTAAAAATCTTGTGCTTCTCCCTTTATCTTTCTTAGGTGTAGACACCATGTCAGATTTCTTGGGCAGAGGTTCCCTTTGGACGCCTCACAGGGTCCTATGTCCTCAGCCACTGTCCCTTCCTGGAGCTGCCACAAGGTGCCCACAGCTGCCCTGGTCCCTGCAGGGTGAACAGAACTTCAGGCCCTGGGTCAGTTCCTCCTAGAGGACACCTGAGGTGTGGGGTGCAGCCTCTCAGGGAAGCTGCTGGGGGCTCTGGGCTGAGAAATCTCCTGGAACAGGCCTCATCTAGACAGCTACTTCCTTGGGACCTTGTTTTTCCCAATCTCTGTTCCCATTCCTTAGAGAGAGGTGGCCAGTCAGCCTGTGGATGCTGGTGCTGAGGGGCCAGGTCATCAGTGATTCCTGCCCTTGTAGTCTCACAGTGTGAAGGAGCGAAACCTCTCCCAGGGCATAAGCAACACCCACCCCAGTGCAGAGCTGTGCAAACCTGAAAAGCCTCGTAGACTGGAGTCATGGTCTAGGTCCCTGGGAGGGTGATCCTAGAGGCTTTCAGGAAGCAAGACCAGGAGGGAGCATGTCCCAGATGTCAGGGACCTTCCCTGCCCCTTGAGCCTGACACATGTGTGCTCCCTCAGCACCAAAGCTTTCTGTGTATCACTTTGAAATGATCTGCTCACATTTTGAGGCCCAGGTCTATTTTCTCAGAGCCAAATGGGATGGACTATTATCAAATAGGCAAGAAAGAAGTGGATTTCAAAAAGTCTAATTACATTTCCATTTTGAAAACAATTACAGCCAGGTACAGTGGTGCACACCTGTGATCCTTGCTGTTCCAGAGCCTTAGGCAGTAGGATTGTAAACTTGAGTATAGCCTTAGCGACTTAGCCAGGCCTTATGTCTGGGGATGTGACTTATCAATAAAGTTCCTCTGGGTTTAATCTCTGATCCCAAACCAAAGAAAAAGAACAGAACAAAAAAAACAAACAAAAAAAAAAAAAAAAGAAAGAAAGAAAACATCTAATTTATCTTTTGCTACCCCTGAGTATGCCTAGTAAATTGGTGAGATTTGATCTCCTCTTTTCAATGATTTCCAATTGAAATCCATGCCCTAGATTCCAGAATGCCACTTAAGATACAGAGAAACTCTGTCTACCATTATTGCTGCAGGAAATGAATCCATTTCTACAAAAATTTTGGTGGATAAATTTATGAATTTGATTTTATGTAAATTAGTTACAGTCGTTGACAAGCTGATGAATTTGACAGGAATGACAGTTTGTTGTTACTGTTGTTGTCTGGATTTGGTGGGTTCATGTTAGCTGTGTCGTTTTTGGTATCAGCAATGGAACCCAGAGGTGCTTAGCCACTGAGCGACATCCCTGGCCCCTTTTAGATTCTTCCTTTTGAGTCAGGGTCTTGCTACATCACCTTGGGCCTCTGACCCCTGAACCACGGGGGTTACAGATGTGCACCATCACACCCATCTTCATTGGAAGTTTTAAGGACAATTTTGGCAATACCTAAAATACCCAACTGTGATCATTTAAAAATCACTGTATACTTTATCAGTGAAATAATAAATGACACCTGTTTTCTGAAAAGGAGAGATATATATGTCTAAGTAAGGGTGCTGATCTTCTCACAAGCACTCCCACCATGTCACCTGATTCCTGTTCCCTCCTAATTACCTCCTCCTAGGGCTACCCATTTGGGAGCTGGCCTTTTAGATTATGAAACTTGGGAGTAACATAAATGCTCTCTCTACTCTGTCTGTCCTGTACAATATTTTTACTGGTCTTAGATACAGTGTACTATTTTCATTTTAGATATAGTTTTTTAAGTTCACCCCATAAAACACAATAATCCATGCCCTGAATTTCACATAATTTACTGAAATGCTCTTTGTTTTTTCAAAGAGTGTAGATCATGGGCAAGTTCAGTCTCCTTTGTTAGAAAGTGTGTTGTCTTTTCATTGATTTTTTGTTGCCTCTCATTGTGTATCTTTTGTATTATAATCTTTTTATCACTCATTACATATATTTTCAGGGTTTTTATTTGTGTGTGTGTGTGTGTACATGGACTGTTGGGGATTAAACCGAGGGCTATCAAGTTCTTACTACTGAGCTACTCTCCACCCCAAGAAAATTCGTATTGTAGACTGGGGTTTACTTATTTGCTGATGTATTGAGTGCTGGGATTGAAGCCAGGGACTTGATCATGCTTATGTTGTCCTCAAAAAAATGAGTTTCAATGTGTGAGCAGCATTTTGGAGGTGGGCAGGTGTTTTACTGGGTAATAAACCTAGACGCACTTGACCACTGAGAACGTCCTCAGCCCTTCCTATTTATTATGTACCTATTTATTTTTATTTTTATTTTGTATAGTTGTAGAGGGGCAGAATACCTTATTTTTGTTAATTTATCTGTGGTGCTAAGGATCATACCCAGTGCCTCATACATGCTAGCAAGTGCTCTGCCACTCAGCTACAATCTCAGTCCCCCCATTTATTGTTGATGAAAACCAAGTTTCAAAAAATTTCTGGATGTCTTGCTAAATTGCAGAGAGAGCCTCCAACTTGCCAGTTCCATGCCTTGACCACCCTAGTGGCTGAAATTACAGGTGCACACCACCACACCAGCAGTTGGAATACCTTTTAAAGATTTATCATCCAGGGGTTGGGATTGTGGCTCAGAGAAAAAGCACTCACCTAGCATGCGTGAGGCCTTGAGTTCGATCCTCAGCACCACATAAATATTAAATTAAAAAAATTGTGCCCACCTAGAACTAAAAAATTAATATATATTAAAAAAAAGATTTATCATCCAGTTTCTTGCCAGATGGAAATAGTATTGAAAATCGGTTTCGTTGCTTTTGTCCATAGTTTTGAAATTTGTAACTATGACTTTTCTTCTTTGGTTTATTTTTTGCATTATTATTTAGGAAAGGTATTCATTATGTAATTTTGTTTCTTATGTTTATATTTGTTAAAGTTTTTGGCATGTAGTTCATTCATTTCCTTATTAAATCAATTTTGTTTTTCAGAGCAATTTTAGACTTATAGTTTGTTAGTCAATGATTTCTAGAGGAACAGCATCAACACGAAGTGTGATTATAAAAGGGGACTTATTAGATTGGCCTACTTGACCTGAAGCTGGATGTCCACAGTGGCTGTCTGCAGAGTGGAGAGCTTGAGAAGTAGTAGCTGCAGAGTCCAAGAGGCTGAAGCCTCAGAACAAGAGGGATCAGTGGTGCTGCCCCAGTCCAGACCAAAGGTTCTGGAAACTCCCTGGAGAATCACAGGCAGGGTCCACGTTGGGAGAGTGAAGAAGGCAGAGTCTGATATCCTCAGGCCATTGCAGCAGCCATCAAGAACCCATTGAGAAGAAAGGAGCTTGCTCTGCTGCTGCTTCTTTCTTCTTCCAACTTTTGTGCCTCCCAAGACACCATCCTATTGGATGGTGCTGCCTAGCTTAAGAAGGTTCTCCAGTTTGATTGGCTGTTCCACATGCCAATCATTTGTAGACACACCCTCATGGACATACCCCAAAGCTTATTAATCACTGTATCTTTTAATCCAATCAAGGTGACAATTAAATGTGCCATTACTCATAGTATCGAATACCCGTTCTCTCCAGCCAATAGTCTCCACTGTTTTCAACATATTCCATTGGTGTATGATGTTTGTTAGTTACTAAACCAGGTTTGAACATTTGATAAAGAGAATGGATGAAGCAAAATGTTATCATAAGCCAGAGTTCACCATTTACCTTAGGTTCCTCCTCTGTGTGATGTGACTTTGTGTGTCACATAGTATACAAGAAAATGTACAGGAGAGTTTCACTGCTCTGGGAATCCTGTGTTCCACCTGTTCATCACTCCTCTCATTCCTTCCTCCCTCTGTGCTCCCTGAGTCCCTGGCACCCATCAGTTCTGCTAGTGCATCTATAATGTTGTCTTTTCCAGAATGTTCTTGACTTGGAATCTTACTGCACTTGGCCATTTCAAAGTGGCTTCTCTCACTTTCCAGTCTGCCTTTAAGGGTGCTGTATCTTCCCACGCTGCAGAGCTTGTTTTCTGGGTGATGTTCTTTGAGGTGGCCAAACTGCAGCTTGTCCATTCAGTATTGAAAGATGCATCTTCACAAAGAACTCAAAAAATTAGACAATAAGAGAACAAACAACCCAATCAACAAATGGGCCAAGGACCTGAACAGACACTTCTCAGAGGAGGACATACAGTCAATCAACAAGTACATGAAAAAATGCTCACCATCTCTAGCAGTCAGAGAAATGCAAATCAAAACCACCCTAAGATACCATCTCACTCCAGTAAGATTGGCAGCCATTAGGAAGTCAAACAACAACAAGTGCTGGTGAGGATGTGGGGAAAAGGGTACACTTGTACATTGCTGGTGGGACTGCAGAGTGGTGCAGCCAATTTGGAAAGTAGTATGGAGATTTCTTGGAAAGCTGGGAATGGAGCCACCATTTGACCCAGCTATTCCCCTTCTCGGTCTATTCCCTAAAGACCTAAAAAGAGCATGCTACAGGGACACTGCTACATCAATGTTCATAGAAGCACAGTTCACAATAGCAAGACTGTGGAACCAACCTAGATGCCCTTCAATAGACGAATGGATAAAAAAAAAATGTGGCATTTATACACAATGGAGTATTACTCTGCATTAAAAAATGACAAAATCATAGAATTTACAGGGAAATGGATGGCATTAGAGCAGATTATGCTAAGTGAAGCTAGCCAATCCCTAAAAAACAAATGCCAAATGTCTTCTTTGATATAAGGAGAGTAACTAAGATCAGAGTAGGGACGAAGAGCAGGAGAAGAAGATTAACATTTAACAGGGATGAGAGGTGGGAGGGAAAGGGAGAGAGAAGGGAAATTGCATGGTAATGAAAGGAGACCCTCAGGGTTATACAGTGGAGGGGGTAGAGAGAGAGGAGGGGAGGGGAGAGGTGGGGAAAAAAAGAAGATGCATCTTCCTTGCATCTAGCTTTGGGCAGTTCTGGATATGGATGCTGTAGTCACTGTTGTTAGGGTTCCTGTGCCCATAATTTTCACATCATTTTTATAGACACCTGAAGTGTGATGACTTAATCATACAGTTTTTTGCATTCATGATTGAATTTTGCATTTGTGATTATGAGCATCATTCATAGTTTTCTATTTAGTACTTTTCTTGATCCAGTTAATTTGGATAATATGGTAACTTATGCCTCAGAAAGAATTAGAAGATTTTAACTGAGCTTCTATGTTCTGGAAAAAATGTAGAAAATTGGTGGCAGTTTTTATGTGTCTCTTGGAAGCCTATTTGTGATGTTAGATCCTTGCCTTACTTTTGTAGTAGTAATTAGTTATTGAGTCTATTTTTTTCAGCAGCCATATGCTCATCTATTTTGTGTATTTCCCCTCGTGTGTAAAAATAAAAAACTGTCTCTCTCACTGAAATGGTCCAGTTTTTGCAAGTTGTCTAATTTGTGTCAAGCACATTTAAGATAATCTTGAAGTCCCAATGCATTGTGGACGATGACAATTTTAAATCTGTTAGTAGGTTTTCAGTCCTCTTTGCTTTTCTCTTTAATGTTATTGTATAATTTACACTTTTAATTCTTTCTTTTTATGTGTCAGTGAGGATTGAACCCAGTTTTTCCCAGGCACTAGACAAGCACTCTTCCACTGAGCCGCATCCCCAGTCCCTGTCCTCTGTACTCTTAGCCTTATGTCAGTTTATCAGTGATGCTGATGTTCATGAAGAAGTTGATTTTGCGGACTGTGGGTTTCCTGATTGTGGTTTCATCCACACCTTCTCTGTTACCTTCCTGTGGTTAATTTAGGTTTACCTTGCTCTTCTTTCTCTGGTTTTTTGAAGTGACAGCTTCAATAATTGCTTTTAGCTCCTTTTCTGAAATGTGTGTTGGATGACTTCGATACCAATACAGCACACCTCGGGTATTCTCTATGAATTTCCTGTGATGGACTTTTACATTTTTTTTTCCTTAAAAATGGTCACATTTTCTCTTGAGTCACCACTTTGTCCTGTGTCTGTTTAGAGTCTTGTTTCATGTCCCCTTCCCTGGAGGCTTTTCACCTGCTCCTGATCTGATTTCTGCTTTTGCTCTCATGATCTTTGGGCATACATGGGATTTCACTGGTGGTGCACTTGTAGGGGTGTGGTTTATGTCCTGTGGAGTGTTTCTGTGACCCAGAGTCCCCAGTGTGCTTCCCAAGGGTTGAAGGCCCATGAAGCCCTCCTGCCTGCATCATTGTCCTGACAGAGTTGGGCTGATGTCTCTGAGTGTAAATGTGCATTCTTCATTGTTTTGGGTGGTTCTGTATGTTCTCAGTCCTTGCGTGTGGTTCTGTGTCAGTGGCAGGGACATTTTCTTTTTGCCTGTTCCATCATGGTGCAGACATCATAGCATGCTTACAGATGTGAGTGGTGGCCTGTTTCACACCCAGACTGTGTGGGATAGTTCAGGAATCTGGGCTACAAACTTGTTGCTTGACCACACTCTGGATGATCTTCTCCCTTAGGTTTGTTGGCAAAACCATTGCTGCAGGCACGATGAATCTCTTTCACAACAGACAACTATTGCACATAAAGCCCAACAATGATCAAAATGTCCTTGAGCAGAACATTGGTATGTGTCTCATGACTACATTATGGTAGTGAACCGGCTGCTGTTAAGAAGAGTTTGACAATCATTGAACATGCCTTGTTGCTATGAGACTTAGAAATGTAGTGCCTTCTGTTTATTAAGAAGATTGTTTTGAGAGTTATAAAATTTTGTAAGGCTGTTGTTTGGACAAGGTGACATTTTTGGGTCATTGAGTTATTTTTAAGACATGTGCCATCTTTCACTTCCCCCATTCTGATTTGACAGGAACCACAGGAAATTATCAAATTGTTGTGTTTATTAATAAATAAATTAAATTAATCAAATAGAGAACTCATGTTTGTTTTGGCCATTTAATAGTAAGCTATTAACTAAATTTGTTCTGGAGTAAAGTACCTGCAAACTTCTAGTTGTTCTCAGTGTAATCACACAGGATGAGCTCAATCTCCAGCTAATGCATTGTGACAACCTGTGTGAAAGTTTGTCTAAATGTTGTCTGTGAAGGTATCTTTTTAGTGACCCCATGCCCAGAGGGTGTGAGTGGGGGCTGGTTCTAGGCATTTCTTTAAGTATGGAACAATAGACTTTCAGAGGAAACAAGACATCAGTAAATACCATGTTGTCTATATTAACTTTGTAGGTACAGGGAGCCACTGTAATTGGCAAAATCTCTTAGTTTCATGATTCCTGCAATTTCCTACTCATCACCTTTGTTTTCTAAACATAAGTACTATCAAAAGTGCTTATATTAGCTCTGTACCACACAACACGTTTCTAGGACATGTGATAGAGATGCAACCAATAAAGAAGTTAGGAGTAATCTGGGAGCCTGTCTTACTTCCTGTGAACTCACCAAAGAAAAGGTATAAATCACTATGATGTTTGCCTTCTGAGTAGCCAATTTCTAGTGTTGGAATGGCTGGAAGAAGTTGAGTACAGTAAAGATTTGATGGACCAAATCGTGGAATTAATCGAGAGGCCAGGGAATCATGTGAACATCATGCATGTTGAGTATAGATTTCTCATGCTGTCAATCTCTCCTGGCCTCCACTACACATTTGGGGGGATATTTTAGATCTCAGTGACCTTTGAGGATGTGGCTGTGTACTTCACCAAGGAGGAGTGGGCTTTGCTGGATCCTTCCCAGAAGAACCTTTACAGAGATGTGATGCTGGAAGTCCTCAGAAACCTGGCTTCTATAGGTAATAATGACGTTTCTAAAATTAATCAAATCAAGAATTCATGTTTAATTTGGTCATTTATGCAGAAGGTGGAAAAGGAATCAATTGGTGAATTATTGCAGCATAAATGGCACCTGGGATTTGGCAAAGCATTTCTGGCTCCTAAATACTCATAAAGATTGTTGTGTTCTCATTTTAGGAAAGAAATGGGAAGACAAGATCACTGAAGACCATGTTGAAAACTCTGGGAGCAATGTAAGGTAAGTGTACTCACAAGAGGAGTCCACGAGGGGGTCTGAGAACTGTCATATCATTTTTAAAGGAAACCAACCAAAGAAGTATGCATAATTTGAGAAGTATTTCTTCTTATAGTGTTTTTTACCAGAAATATGTACTTAGCTGTAACAGATATTCAGTCTTTTCAAAGTATTTGACATTCAAAAAGTACTATGAAATTGCTTATGTGAATACCACTATTTGGATAATAGCCATAGAGAAGCTGTGTTGAAAAGGATTGTTTGCTTTCAATCTCCTTATTTTTAGGCAAGTTGAACAAGTCAGCAAACCTAGCCTTTACCTGATGTTGGTAGTAATGTAAAGATCTATCAATACATAGAAAATGGTGAATGAATCAAGCATTGATTATGTGCTGGTCACTTCTTCTTCCTTAAGGAAGTCATATGGTAAACTCAAAGGCACAAAATAGTGTGGGAGAAGCTTCAAATCGATTCCAATTCTTACTTGAACAAAGAAAAATTTTAATAGAGTAAATCCATGTCACTTCATTATGTGTGCAAAAGACTTCATATGACCTTCATTCCTTCATAGGCAGATCACATCATACTCTGGACACAAATACTACAAGCATGAGGAATGTGAAGAGAAGCCATGTGAATTTAAACAATGTAAGAATGCTCTGGTTTCTCCCCAAAATATTCACACACAAATGTTAATACAAACTGGAGATGGACTTTATGAATCTACAGTACATGGGAAAGTCATCAGTCACTCCAGTGACATTCAAAGGCATGGAGATACTCATACTGGGTGGCAACCCTATATATATCAGCAATGTGGTGAAGCCTCTTCTTATCCCACCAGTGTTCCAAGACACATGATAACACACAGTGGAGATAAACTTTTTCAATGGGACATATGTGGGAAAGCCTTTGATTTCTCCTCTTTATTTAGAAGACATGAAGGAACTCATTGTGGAGAGAAACTCCATGAATGTAAACGAGGTGGTCAGACCTGTATTTCATACACAAGTCTTCAAAGGCACAGGATCACACACATGGGGAAGGAAGGTTTAAATTGTAAGGTATGTGGGAAAGACTTTGCTTATCCCAGTTTACTTAGAGTACATCAGAGAAGGCATACTGGAGAGAAGCCCTATGAATGTAAGCAGTGTGGCAAAGCCTTTGCTACATCTCATAAGCTTCATATACATGGAAGAATACATACCGGAGAAAAGCCCTATGAATGTCAACAGTGTGGAAAAGCCTTTACTACTGCCTCCTACCTTCAGATACATGAACGAACTCATACTGGAGAGAAGCCCTATGAATGTAAGCAGTGTGGGAAAGCCTTCGCTCAGTCCTCTCACCTTCACTCACATGCAAAAACTCATACTGGAGAGAAGCCCTATGCATGTAAGCAGTGTGGCAAAGCCTTTGCTACATCCACTAAGCTTCATATACATGGGAGAATACATACCGGAGAAAAGCCCTATGAATGTCAACAGTGTGGCAAAGCCTTTACTACATCCAGTTACCTTCAGATTCATGGAAGAATGCACACTGGAGAGAAGCCCAATGAATGTAAGCAGTGTGGCAAAGCCTTTGCTACATCCTCTACGCTTCACAGACATGGAAGAATACATACCAGAGAAAAGCGCTATGAATAACAACAATGTGGAAAAGCTTTTGCCACATCCTGTCTGCTTCATACAAGTGAAAGAACAGATACTGCAGAGAAATAGTATGCATGTAAACAATTGGTAAACTTTTCTGTTATTACTGTTTCACTCATATACATGTAGGACGTTACTGGAGAAAAATCCTTTGAATGTAAAAATGGTAAATCAAAAACTTTTCAGAAAAGCAACTTTCCCTTAGGAGAGCACCGAACTTAGCAACATATCCCATGAATCACCTTCATAATTCTTTATATTTACTTACGGTTTCTAGAATTGCAAAAATAGTTTTTGTTTATCTTTCTACAGATGAAAAATTCCCAGATCTTATGAGTTTAACATCACAACTTCTTCTTCTGTCTAATTCCCTTACTTTCTACAATTCAACCCACAACACTCTGAAATCCTAAGTGCACTTAACTTCTGGAGAGAAATTCCAAACTCACTAAATTTCTAAAATTGACACTGAAGTTCAAGTACAGGACACCACTTGTCCCGACATAGGACTAAACCAGTCAGGGTCACTCCAGGTGAACTGGGCTGCATGACATTGTCACACAGAGACAGAGAAATGTCTTTTTCTTTGGTTCTGTGATGGCTCCCTCACCCAGCTCCCCCAAAGGAGGCAAGGCAGGTAAGAATGAGAGAGAGCAGGCCTGGAGCCCCATTTTATGGGGGAGAAGCCACTCAAATGAGGATAGGGTCAAGATTCAGGGGGTGGAGTCTTCCTGATGTCTGCTGCCAGTAGGTTGACATCCTGGAAGGCCACGCCCATCTCATGTGCTGTGTGGGGATCAAGGGCAGAGCAAAGGAAGGGGACACACAAGGGGAGGTTCCATGGAACATTCTATCCCAAAAGGGCACAGAGTAGGATTCCAAAGGAACAGGAGGGTGTAACTCGACCCCACTGGCGGACTCCTACTCCTGGAGCCACACCTCACTATCTGAATGGGGGTGAGGCCCAATGTGTTGTGGGGCACAGCAGCTGTTCCATACTCCCCTACACAGGACTTAAAGTGACTCCCGACAGCAGAATTCACAGCTCAGATTGGACTCCGGGGCCAGCTGCCCAGTGTGTGGTGGTCAGAGCACCCCAGGGGGCTGTCTCCTGCGCAGTCAGCACAAATGCAATCGCTTCTGTTGGGTAAAGCTGTGGGACGAACGTGAGGCAGTCAGTGTCCGGGTCCAGCAGTGCTCACTGGGTCCCACTGTCCCATGGTCTACAGAAGCAAAAATTGCTTCTTCCCCTCTCCCCGTCCAAGCTCTGGGGTGGGCACGTCACAGGCTTTAAGTGGGTGTTATTTGAAGTTGTCCCCCTCAGACTCAGAGTCTGAGCCATGACCTAATGGAGCACAGCTCCACGACCATGGTTTACATCATGAGTTGGAAATTGTGACGTTTTGGCAAAAATAATGGTGAATGTGTTGTCACAGAAATTGTCTCATTTCTGTGTTCTTCTTAGCTTGATTTCATGGGAGGTTTTTGCATATTTCATCTGACAAGGGAGCAATCTGGATGCTGGGTGAAGAGGGTGAGGGGCTCCCTAGGGTTGAGGACCCAGGATGCTCCTCTGGGCACATCCCTGCATCCTCCAGGTGAAGTTTGATGCACAGGGTGCCTTTTGTCTGGGGTGTCTCTGGGTCACGTCCTCTCCACTGTGAGGAGAGGGTCCCGGGGTCAGGACTGTTGGGGGTCCCAGGAGCCTGGGTTTCCTATTGGGAGTCAGAAGCCTGAGCAGTAACCTCCACACAGGGGCCAGGGGCTTAGGATCCTGTCCCCATTGCTCAAGTGAGGAGAAGGACACTTTTCCTGCCACAGGGGTGCCTGAGGTAACGGCACAGCGCCAGGCTCCCTACGTTCCTCTCCTGCAGGGATGCTGCTGCTGCAGGTTTGCTTTGCTTTTTATTTCTCTCCTTTGCAAGTGGCACCTTGTATGGTCTCTGTTTCTGGAAATGTTGATATATTTTCACTTTTTACATGAGATTTGTGTGTATTTTATAGTAGTAAATGATAAAGTATCATAATGACAGCATAGATTTCTGCATTCGTGACATTCTAAACTTTTGATAAAGATTGAATATGTAGGGTGGGGCTGTGGCTCCATGGTGCTGTGCTCACCTAGCATGCAGGAGACACTAGGTTCGATGGTCAGCACCACACAACTATGAAATAAAGACATTGTGTCCACCTAAAAAACTAAAAAAATAAATATTTATTTTAAAGACTGAATATTTAGTTACATGTTTTGTCTTTTAGTTTATCAAATGCTTGGAAATCTCTAAGCTTGTTTTATATACTGAACCAGGTTTCTGTATGACCTGCCCTTGTACTTCAACCCCATGATGTTCAAGGATCAGATGCACATTGTGTCCTAAATCCTATCAGGTGGTTGTTTGGGGTGTTCTTTGTGCCTCTGAGGTTTTGACAGGAGCTCAGGAACTTGTGTAGCTGGAAGAAGCAAAGGATGGAGCTCAGCAGGTGTGTGTCCTCCTGTTCTGCAGTAACACTGAATCGGGGGTGGATAAGGGTGAAGATGGCAGCCACATTTCCTGGGTGCAGACCAGGTCTGCCCCTCCACGTGGGACATTCACTCTTTCCTTTCTATAACTTGGGAATAATAATAATCATCCCAGCAGAGCCTGCACAGCACAGATAGAGGTTATGTGAGTCAGTAAACAAGTCCTCACGGTGCTGCTTGAAGCCTGGCTAGGATCCCACACTCCAGCAGCCCTTGCCGTTTCTGCTGTTGACACCTCTCCTCAGGTGCCATAGAGATCGATGGGACCAATGGCAGCACCCAGGGCCTCTTTATCCTCGTGGGATTCTCTAATTTCCCCAATGTGAAGAGGGTCATCCTTGTGGTCCTCCTGGTAGCCCACCTGCTGACCCTGCTGGGCCACACTCCATCATCCTGGTGTCACAGCTGGACCCCACCTCCACACGCCCGTGTACTCCTTACCCCCTTCGTCCTTCCAGGACCTCAGCTTCACCCCCAGCTCCATCCCCAGCTCCTGCACAAACTACGTGTCCACGACAAGATCATCAGCTCTGCAGGGGCACAGTCCAGCTCTTCCTGTTCCTGGGCCTGGGTGGAGTGGAGGGACTGCTGCTGGCTGTCACAGCCTATGACAGGTTAGTGGCTATCGGGAAGCCCCTGCCCTACACAGTGATCATGATTTCCAGGCTGTGGGGCAGTCAATTCCTTGGTCCTGTGTCAGTGACCCTATGGTTACACTGCTGTGCACACAAGAAGAAGGATCACTTCCTGTGTGAGATACCTATCCTGATCCGTGTGGCCTGTGTCAGCATGGTGGCTATTGAGGGCACTGTCCTTGTCCTGGATGTGGGCATCATGCTGTTTCCCGTGGTCTTCCTCCTGGTCTCCTGTGGCCACATCATCAGTGCTGTGCTCAGAATGCAGTCGTCCTCAGGAAGACACACTCTTCAACACCTGTGGCCCACCTCACCCTGGGCTCCCTGTCCTACGGGAACATCATCTTCAAGTACATGCAGCCAGGAGCCGCTCCTCCCGGGACCAGGGCAAGGTCCTCATGCTCTTCTACAACCCCGTCACCCCCTCCTGAACCCCTCATCTGCACACTCAGAAACAGGGAGGTGAGAAGGCTGATGCTGGGGAACAGAAAAGGGGACAAGGAGTGAGGGCCCAGGGAGTGACCGGCACACAGCCTCAGGGTCAGCTCCATAAGGGCCACTGCTGTCCTCTGAGCCATGGGGCAGATGAGGTGTCCGCCTGCAGCTCTCAGCACCCTTGCAGGGTTGGTCTTCTGGGTGCCTGACTAAGGCCAGTGCTGTGGGTTTTATAGCAGCACAGGGCCTGTCCCCCACACCCGGATGTGCAGACCTGACCCTGCAGGCTGGTACCAGGGCCACACTGGCAGCAGCCCCTGGGTCCTGCTTCTGTAATTTGCTGACTTCACAGTGGTGCTCTCGGCGTTTTAGCTGGAACCTCCCAGCTCTCTCAGGGCTCTTGGTGTGAACCACTGTGTCTTCCTGGGTGGCGTCAAAGCTGAGTTCAGCATGGCTGGGTATTTCCCTCCCATAGGCTTGCAAGGAAGCATGTTGTCTTTTTCTGCCCTTTGTTAGGAGACAGATAAATGAATGGTGGGAGCACAAGGTAAGAGAGTAAGTATAAATGTGGCCCAGTGGGCAGACCCCACATGCTTCATTTGCCAAAAAAGCAATGTCTCTGCAGCCCTGCCTGGAGGAAGTGGACAGGGTCTGTCCCATTCCCCAGCAAACCACCTGTTGTCTGCATGGAAATGCAGGTCGGAATTAGTATGGGTGAGAGGAACCCAAGAGAGTATGAAGGGCCTGACTTTTGTGACCCTTTTGCCAGAGCAGATTCTGAAACATAAGGATGATTCCTCCTAACCACAAAAGTTGTAGCAATGTATAGTTAAGAATGCAATTAGCACTGCTCAACATGGGGCCCTGATGGCTTGGAAATGACCAGGCCACCAGACAGGCGCAAGCCATGGTCTCCAGAAACCCACTCCAAGTGGCCAGAGAGCCTTTGGAAGGTCTGTGGAAGAGAAGAGATGAGATGAAAGTTGATGGAGAGGAACTCAGCCTGCCACCAACACAGCGCCGCCACAGCGCCCTGCCGGTTGGTACCCACAGTCATAGGGTGCCCTGAAGGAGGGAAAGAAGGCAGTACAGGGGATGAGCCCCGGGGGCCATCTGCAGATCAAGTGCTCAAATCATTCACTCTTGAACTTAATGCCCTGCAGACTGGAGAGACCAGCCAGAGCGGCTCCTGAGCCCACAACATTTTTGAAGTGGAAGGCCTTCTTCTATGACAAATGTGAATAGCAGGGGAACCTCACCCCACCACAAATGTTGACCCCCCAGCTGAGTGCTTGTGGGAAGAGGGGATCTACTCTTCTCATGGTGCAAGCCACAGGCCCACCAGGTTATGTCAATCTGGTTCACTCTCTGCTTTAAGAATGTGCTAGAAGGAACCAGCTGGGGGAGGTACAGTGGATACACAGGGCCTAAGGCAAAAATCCACTGAGGACTTGCCACAGTTTATGGACAGAGTGAACAAGGCTTGAAAGGAAAAGTGTCTCATGAAGAAGCCAGGGAAGCCCCACCCAGCCAAGGAGGTGATCAGGGAGGGACTAAACAAGGGACAGAGAGCAGCAGGCGCCAGCACAATGCAGCCCAGTGGATGACTGGATTTGGCCACCCAGGATACAGGGACAGAAGGGGCTCAAGCCTCTCTGCTGGGGGTGTGGAGGGACAGGACAGTTCTGGCGAGAATGCCCAGAGCCTCTGCAAATTATTTCCTGAACTGACCAAGGAGGCTTGCAAGCAGCTAGTCAAGACCACAAAAATATGCCCCTTCCCTTCCTGTTGTCGCTTAACAACCTGCTGGAGTAAATCCCCAAGATTAAAATCTAATGCCTTATGGCAAGTAGATGTCACTCATTATGTACCTTCAGGAAATTAAAATATAACTATGTGGTCACTGATACCTATTCAGGCTGTGGAATGGCCATCCCCATCTACTTAAGTGCTTTGGGATCATGGCACCTCCTTTCTGCATGAAAACTGACACTGGTCCAGCCTGGGCAAGCAGAGCCTTCAAGGAATTTTGCTCTACATGGCACAGAAATCATGTCACTGGGATCCCCTATAACCCTCAGGTTTAATGCATTGTAGACAGAACACGCAAGGAATTAATGACCAGGCTACAAAAATGGGGCAGGGGGAGGGAGAAGGCTCTACCAAATCCCCTCACAATGCCTTGAACAAAATCTTGTTTGCTTCAAATTTTCTTTCAACTTCAAAATTTTCCATGGAAACAGCCACCCACAAACAGTAGGCCCCCTTCACTGTGCCCTGCCATTTACCTATAATCTCCCAGCTGGATCCCATCACAAGTGCATGATGGTCCAGCGTCCCTCCTAAAACTGGGTCCAGGGTTTGTACATGTTGACAGAAGCCTCACCCCATTTGGGTGCCTGCAGTGAAACTGCCTGCTGGGTAAATTGGGCTTTGGACCCTTGGCCACCAAATTAGCCTGGTCAATTGGGAAGGAGCCCTATCTAAGCTCTTTTCTAATAACTCCTTCCTGATTGATCCTGAGGTAGCCATACAAGGACCACCCGTACAGGGGAACACCAGCACTACCACTCCTGCTCGGCCGAGTGGTTTCTCCGTCGTTGATAATGAGACCTACAATCAGAACCGTCCTCTCTCTTTTGCTCTTGCTAATGAAACTTTTCTAGATCAATATAACAAGTCCTATGCTGGCTGTCTCTCACTGACAGTTGGTAGTTAACGCTACCAAAAGCCATAGACTACCTCCCCATGGCAAGTGCAAGAAACTCTTCCTGCCAACATGCCCAACAACACTCTTTAGAAAGCCCCCCTCTTATAATGACAGCACCCCATGGAATCGATGTGTGGCAGCCACACCTTATCTCCATGGTAAGAGAAATTTCTTTGGAGAAGATCAACACCTAAGTGCCAGGTTGGGCGCAGCTCCCTGGAATGTAACCCATGTGCCTCAAACCATGTGGGCTAATGCAGTAACTGCTCCCTGGGATGATCTGTCACCAACCATTATGCAGGAAATCAATATGGCATGATGGATATCAGGCCAATATTGCTGGCCACTAGACCCTTCAAATGGGTGGCAACTGGCTGGATGCATGAGTGGATAATGGGCCCTAAACCCAACATATACCTTCATCCCAAAGTATACCCATACCCACTGTGCACAAGATTGTGTCACGCCACCCTTGCCATGCTCATAATCACTTCCTCTGATGGTGTAAATATCACTCATGCAGAGATCCCTTGTGCAGTCAATGCATCCTGCTGGCTCACAACCTGTCTACACCGGCTATGAAATCTAAATGTGTATTGATCCTCAGATGCACCCCGCAGCCTGGCTTCCAGTGAACCAGTCCAAGGAGTGGAGGAGTCCATGGGACATGCAGAGGAATCATCTTCTGAGTGAGATCCTGCACCAGACAAGGCGTGATATTGCCCTCATCATTGCTGGGATTGTTGCCCTAGTGGCCGCCATCGCCGCCACAGCCACTGCCATTGCTGCGCTCACTCAGAGGATCCACACTGTGCACACTGGAAACAATGTGTCCCCTGTGTGGCAGCAGCCTTTGCCTCTCAAAATGACTTAAATAAACTGAACTGAACCACCATTTTCCTCATTCAGCAAGAACCAGACCTCCACCAGGAGCCACGAAGTGTTCTGTTTATGTTGCTAAGGCTCACAGTCACCCTGAATTTCATAGTATTTGCGTCACCCAATACGCTGTATCTGACAATGGAACCTTAGAGTTCTCCACTTTTTCTCAGTTCATGAAGGGCGCTTGGGATGCTCACTGTGTTACGACTGCATGATGTCACTAAGGCCATGGTCAAAATCAAGGGGACTAAGGTGTCTGTCTCAACAGCCTCCTCTTCCTTCCAGGGATTGGCTGAACATTGGAAAAACCTGAGAGCCAAGTTACTAACCCTTATAACGCTATTACCCTGGCCCTACTGAGTGTGACAGTAATAATTTTTTTCTTGTGTTGGGAGACGCTTATGCAAGCATGTGAAGGCCACCAAAGAAAAATAAGGGATGCTAGCAAAAGTCCTTGTGGCAAGTCTGAGGGGGAGACGTGGGGACAAGGGCATGGACAACTGCATATGTGGCATACATGAGGGGCACCTGAGTGGCAGGCCACTCCCCTCCAGCTAGGAGTGTGAGCTGCAGGCTGCTCACCCTGTAGGCCCCTCCCTGGGCGTGAGGCCACCTGTTGCAGACCCTGCACTTGCTCCACGACCTGCTACTTGTTTGGTTGTGGCTCTTCAGAGTCACTCCTGTGCCAGCAGTTGCTCAACAGAACAACCTTGGAATCGTCAGTAGGCCAGAGGGAATATTGGGGGGCCTGCTTTGGTCTCCTAGAGTTGTTCCGAAATTGTATTGGTGGCTGCGTGTAATGTGCTTAGCTGCTGCCCGAGTGTATACACATGGTAACTGCGCAATAAAATCAGACCTGCTTCCTGCTTGGTGTCTGGAGGTCTTGATTCTTGACTCTCTAGCCACACTGTCCTCGAGCCTGTTCCGTGGGCCTCGTTGCTGGATGAGACAGAGCCCACACAAACACAAAGGCCCGGTTTCCTTGGAAGCAATGTACAGAAGCAAACGCACGGACCCAGACATGGAGCAGTGCACCAGACACACAAGCACCTGAGGACTGAAGATTGAACACCACAGAGGAGGCTTGTAAAACCAGCGGTCATAACACAGGACGGCCAGCAGGGGGCACTGTGCTCACGACCAAGTGTTGAAAACAGGCCCCCTGCATCAAGGAGAGGATTGTAAACTCAGGAAACTGGATGAAGTGTCTGCACAGGAGCACAGCCCAGAGAGCAGAGAGTGACTGCAGAAACGTGAAAGAGAGGTCCCATGAGGTGTTGGCAAGGAAAAGGTCTCATTGGTCTGATAACAGGTTGGAGTCACCATCTGGGTGTATTTTCTGAGATCCATCACACTTATGCTCCCACCCACCTTCTTTGAACCACAATGAAAAGGGGGGCTGGGGATGTATCTCAGTGCTAAATTGCCCCAACCCTCAATTCAATCTCGATATGGGGGACAATAAAAGCACCTGGGATTCAATTCTCAGTTCTGGGCAGCTATGTGCCCATGTTTCCACACTTTTTACCCATGAGCCCCCCGATCCATGGGTATTATTTTTAGGTAGAATGAATGTGAGACACTATGCAGGATGTGAAAGACTTCACAAAGTCCAACTTAAGAGAAGAAAATAAAATGGTATATACTTTCCATTATTGGGGTAAATATGACAGGCTGTATTGGCCCCAAGAGGCACATTTTTATGTTTTATATGCGGGCTTTCTGGCAGAGCTGAGCAGGGTTATTATTTCTTCCTGGTTTAACTATCAGTTGAACCCAGGTAGCTGAGAGCACTGGGTCAGCTTCTGGGTTTACATTGCTTCCTAGGCAGGATGCAGATGGGCTTGTGGCTTTTCTTGAAAATGTTGGTTCATCTCAAACCTTGACATAAAAAGAGTTCACAAAGGGGGACTTTAAACTGAGAGAAAATAATGAGGTCAGTCTGTGCAATGGAATGACATGTTTCAAGGAGGCAAATGAGCTTGAGCTCACAGACATGTTATGAGACTACAGATGCCTGAAGCCTAACCTAATGCAATTCTACATATTATGATATTATTAGCGTATCACCTAATGCAATAATAATACAATATTATTCTTTTACAATCAATACTAACTCCTACATACAATTTCCCCTATACATTCATGACAATGATTTCCCTTTCAAGAAAATCTCAAAGCCCTTGTCAGCACCTAAACACAGGGTAAGACAGAGTTTCCTTATCTCCCTAGTGTAGCTGCACTGGTCAACGTTCCTTTCCTGCTTTCAATCAACACCTTTTCTTTTTGATTTTAGGGCAAACAGCTGAGCAGACTTGTGTGATCAGCAGAGTAAGGTCTGTACATAAGAATTGATAATAGTAGAATGTAGACTATCTACATTGAGCACAAGGCGCCCATTTTATTTCTGCTGCACATTGCTGTTTTAGAAGGTTGCCTGCCTCCCCCACACCCCACCCCTTTCTCTGCTGGGGATGGAACATTGAGCCACAGCCCGAACCCCAAATGTTTCCTTTTATAGGTCAGGCTGCCTCCTCAAAGATCAGAGGTCAGGAGGTAATGAGATTTACTAAAATAATTTTCAAACTGTTTTCATTAGTAGATATCACATACATGTGGATATATATGATATCTTTAAAGAGTGTTTCAAAAATTTGGAGACAGTGTCTTTCTAATTTGCCTGAGGTATATATATTGTTTTTTCATATATATATATATATATATATATATATATATATATATATGCACACACACACACACACACACACATGTACATACATACACACCAGTGGGGCTTGACCTGGACCACTGGGCTACATCCCACTCTTTTCCTTTTATTTTAAGAGAGGGTCTCACTGACCTTGGGCTCCTCCAGCCTCACCCTCCCTGAGAAGTTGTGCTTTGTTTTTGTGTTGAGGTTAAACCCAGGGGCTCGCCATGCTCAGAAAGCGCTCTATGGCTGAAGCCTAGCTCAGCGCCAGGTGTCACCTCTGTACCAGAGGCTAAGCTAAGGCTTCCCACCTGGATTAGTTCCCAGCACAGCTGAAAAGCTCCGCCTGAAAAGGACTGGGGCCAAGCATCTGTCACTCTACGCAATTTCAGCCAGTGATTGGATGTTGCTGGCTGTCAGTCACGATGCAGAGGCGGGCCTGGAGGCCGTCCATCCCGGATGCTGGGGGAACTGCCCAATCAGTGCGCAGAGGGAGAGGAAGGGCGGGCTTCGTAATCTCGCGAGCGTTTCTTCCTCAGCGACTCCCCTCCTCATCCTTTAAGCCAAGAGTTCTCTGCTCCAGGGACTGAGGTGACTCTGCTTTGCCTGTGTCCCCCCCACCCCCGTCTCGGGTGCCTGGAGGTTCCCCGAGAGGACGCCGGGTCACCACAGAAGACAAAAATGGTGAGTTTGCGACCAGGGCTGAAGGCACGCGTCACCACCCGCCTTGGGGCCTGGTGCCCGGGTGAGCTGGGGAGCGCAGCGGAGTCGTGGCCCTGTCCCTTGGCCTCGTGGGGTGAGCTGGGTTTTGGGGTTTGGAGATTAGCTGCTGAGCGTGGCACAGTCCCCGCTGGAGGGTGGCCCTGGGCCCTGTCCCCTGGTTCCCTGGGTTTGGAAGGGCGGCTCAGGTCCCTGGTGTCCCCTTTGCTCCCTACTGGTGGCCCGACCCACTCTTCCCAACGTGGAGGAAGCAGGGCCACAAATGCACCCTCCTTCTCCCAGGGGAGCTCCTCCGGAGGCTGCTGTAGGTTCCCCAAATTGCAGGCGCCTCCTGCCTTCTAAACCCCACCTTCCCTCCACCTCACAGCTCGGCCAGACGTTCGTTCTTCCCACTCGTTTCAAATGGACACCGTCCGCTAATTGTCACTTTTAATCTAGCGAAATGTTGGAGAGAATAGTTCTTTTCTTTTAATTGGGGACCCAAACTCGGGGAGCTTTATGAGGCACATCCCCGGCCTCCACTTTTACTGAATTTTGAGATCTGCACCCACTTGGTGTGGAAGCTGGTCTCCAACCTGTGATCCTTCTGTGACCGCTGTTTACCAGTGACGAGTCCTTGCTTCCCCGAATGCTGAAGTATAACACCAGAGAAGCACGCTGAGGCAAGTGTAGAGTGGAAAGTAGAGGTTTATTAAAGGACAGCAGAAAAGACTTCTCCCCACAGGAAGAAGGGACCCAAGAGGTGGAATCCCTGTAAGGGGGAGGTCTTCCCTCTTTTATAGCTAAAGTCTTCTTTCCGCTTTCCCACACTTTGTTTCTCATTATGTTGCAGTGATAGAATGCAGGTGGGAAGGTCCAAAAGGTGGGAGATTGGTGGGCTGGAGGAGTAATCTGGGCAGGAAAGGCCTGGGGTGGCTTTTGGATTATGATTAACAGTTCCTTAGAATGGAATCCTTCCTTGGGGACATTAACATTTCAATTGCTGCTCTGGTTTCCAGGACTCCATTCTCTATAAGGGCCTCTGTTTTATTTATCTTACACAATATTAGACCCAATTTACCTATCTACCTATCTGTAAATCTGGCTTCACTTCTGCTTCAGCCTCCAAAGTTCCTGGGATGACAGGGCTGTGTGGAGGGGGCAAAACTGTGACTTATGCAGTCAAGGGGAGAAATAAAGTATGTCCACACACTTGTGCCCCTTTCAATGCTCTATTCACTCAAATTACTTAATACAGTTGAACTGTATAGGTTCTTAATCAAGAAAACAACAATCCTTAATGCTAGGCATTGCCATAGACATAATCAATTCACAGCAAAATGTGCCACAGCCTGGAAGCAGCAAACTAACTGGGGGGTGAAGATCAACTTGTGAAGGTGGATACAGCAGGAGAGGGAGCCGTTTATTGTAGGACAGTAGGGGTATATCTACATAATTAAGAACAAGTTGTGTATTCAGTTAACAAAAACTAGGTATAACAGTCAACCAATAAGGAATCATCATCTTAATGATTACACACAGCTTAACTTGATTGACATAATCTAGACACAGCAGTCACTCATTAAGGAATCTCTATCATCTTAATGGCTTGCTGGCCTTACTTTTCAACCACTACTTCCTTTGGCTAACAGCCAGGTGCCATCTTGACTTGTTTATCACCCTAACTGCAACAATTCTAGGTTAATTAATTCACAGCAAACAATTCTAGATTCATTCTAAGCACTGGAAAACACACTTAATCATGATAAGCTAATGACAGACATTCCCTCTGTATGCTGAGTTTAAAGGTCTTATGTCTTAGGCTTTGAGTCCAGCAGATGCACACTCACTCAGACCTCGGTGACCAGGTCTGGAACCAAGGCAAGCATTTCCTGGTGTGGAGCAGAGGAGCAGTTGAGGAGGGGGTCCTAGGGAGGAGGTGCAGCTCTCACCAAGGTCCAGATGAGGCAGTAGAGTTTGAGAATGGTGAGGATCTTGCAGAGGCTCAGGAAAGATGCCAAGTGATGGGATGTCAGGTCCTCATCAGACTCTCCAGCTCGAGTGCATCCTTGTTTATGTTGGCTGAATTCCTGCTCATCAACTCTATCATTTATACTACATTTGGGGGCTTTTGATTACGCTTTCAATCCTTATCAGCGACCACCCTATTTCTCAGTGACATCATTTACCCTGGGATCATCTCCACCCTGATCTTCTTGCCTTTCCCTCTTATCAGGCAAGGACAGCCTGCCAGAGGCTTCACTCTCTTTATCAGGGTGAGGGGAAGGAACTTGTTTGAGGCCTTACTGGAGGGATCTGTGGATGTGCCTGGTGAAACTGCAGGTCTTTTAAAATGGAGTTGCTTAGGCTCAGGCCTAAGGCCATTCTAACAAGGCCTGTGTCCCTGGTAAGAAGAACACTTTTGAAAGCCTTTGTTTTCTATTTGTGATTATTATACTTGAGAGGAAAGAATAATCACTTAACGGTTCCCTGTGTTTGCTCAAAATAATTACTTTAAAAGGAAAAAGGCATTTCTACATAGAACCTAGGGATATTGAATCTTGGGTTATGTTCCAAGCCCCCCTGCCCCATTTGACATAAATCATTTATTAAATTTGTTTTTATTAGTTATACATGGCATTATAATGCATTTTCACACAGTACACATAAATAGAGTGTAACTGCTCCTTTTTCTGGTTGTACTTGATGTGGATTCACACCAGTCCTGTAATCATATATGCACACAGGATAATAGTGTTTGATTCATTCTTCTGTTCTTCATCCCCAACTCTTTAAATTTGATTTTCAGATGGGGTCTGGCTATGTTGCCCAGCCTGGCCTGTAAGTCCTGACCCTCCTGCTTCAGTTTCTCAAGCTGTTGACATTAAAGGCATTGGCAATCCCAGCTATGGAAAATAGTTCATTTTGGTTTAAATATTAATGACCATACTCAGGAACATGGATTCAAGTGACCCTAAATGATGTATGTGTCCCACCCTGAAAGACAAGGATTAAACCCAGGGGCACTTAATCACTGAGCCACAATCAGTCCTTTTTAGATTGTATTTTGAGACATGATCTCATCAAGTTCCTTCTGCCCTCACTAAATTGCTGAGACTGACTTTGAATTTATCAATCCTCCTACCTTATCCTCTAAAGCTACTGGGATTACAGTTGTGTGGCACTGTGTCTGGCCTACATGAACTTTTATAAAAGAAACTGTATCACTACATTAACCAATTGCACTGGTAGGATCATCAGATGGGTGGGCTGCAGAAAGAAAGAAAGGAAGGAAGAAAAAAGAAATTTCTTCTGACTGTTGTTATTACATTCTTACTTTGGTAGATGGTGGGGACTAGATGTCTGGTAAGGATAGTGATATATTCTGAGAAATTTAATAGTTTTGAGAATTGTGGTCTTATCCAGAAATTAAGATAATTGGCTATTAAAGGGCTTAAGATAGCCCAAGATAATTTTTGCTCTCCATACAGAACCCTGCCTTTCCACCCTCATGGTGGTCTGGTTAGCCAAGTCAAATACTCTGAAGGTACTTTGATGTAGATGCAACTGTATAGAGAACTTGAGTGCACAGCCGTAAAAATCTTGTGCTTCTCCCTTTATCTTTCTTAGGTGTAGACACCATGTCAGATTTCTTGGGCAGAGGTTCCCTTTGGACGCCTCACAGGGTCCTATGTCCTCAGCCACTGTCCCTTCCTGGAGCTGCCACAAGGTGCCCACAGCTGCCCTGGTCCCTGCAGGGTGAACAGAACTTCAGGCCCTGGGTCAGTTCCTCCTAGAGGACACCTGAGGTGTGGGGGTGCAGCCTCTCAGGGAAGCTGCTGGGGGCTCTGGGCTGAGAAATCTCCTGGAACAGGCCTCATCTAGACAGCTACTTCCTTGGGACCTTGTTTTTCCCAATCTCTGTTCCCATTCCTTAGAGAGAGGTGGCCAGTCAGCCTGTGGATGCTGGTGCTGAGGGGCCAGGTCATCAGTGATTCCTGCCCTTGTAGTCTCACAGTTTGAAGGAGCGAAACCTCTCCCAGGGCATAAGCAACACCCACCCCAGTGCAGAGCTGTGCAAACCTGAAAAGCCTCGTAGACTGGCGTCATGGTCTAGGTCCCTGGGAGGGTGATCCTAGAGGCTTTCAGGAAGCAAGACCAGGAGGGAGCATGTCCCAGATGTCAGGGACCTTCCCTGCCCCTTGAGCCTGACACATGTGTGCTCCCTCAGCACCAAAGCTTTCTGTGTATCACTTTGAAATGATCTGCTCACATTTTGAGGCCCAGGTCTATTTTCTCAGAGCCAAATGGGATGGACTATTATCAAATAGGCAAGAAAGAAGTGGATTTTAAAAAGTCTAATTACATTTCCATTTTGAAAACAATTACAGCCAGGTACAGTGGTGCACACCTGTGATCCTTGCTGTTCCAGAGCCTTAGGCAGTAGGATTGTAAACTTGAGTATAGCCTTAGCGAGTTAGCCAGGCCTTATGTCTGGGGATGTGACTTATCAATAAAGTTCCTCTGGGTTTAATCTCTGATCCCAAACCAAAGAAAAAGAACAGAACAGAAAAACAAACAAACAAACAACAACAACAACAACAAAAAAAAAACATGTAATTTATCTTTTGCTACCCCTGAGTATGCATAGAAAATTGGGGAGATTTGATCTTCTCTTTTCAATGATTTCCAATTGAAATCCATGCCCTAGATTCCAGAATGCCACTTAAGATACAGAGAATCTCTGTCTACCATTTTTTGCTGCAGGAAATGAATCCATTTCTACAAAAATTGTGGTGGATAAATTTATGAATTTGATTTTATGTAAATTAGTTACAGTCGTTGACAAGCTGATGAATTTGACAGGAATGACAGTTTGTTGTTACTGTTGTTGTCTGGATTTGGCAGGTTCACGTTAGCTGTGTCGTTTTTGGTATCAGCAATGGAACCCAGAGGTGCTTAGCCACTGAGCCACATCCCTGGCCCCTTTTAGATTCTTCCTTTTGAGTCAGGGTCTTGCTACATCACCTTGGGCCACTGACCCTTGAACCACTGTGGTTACAGATGTGCACCATCACACCCATCTTCATTGGAAGT